GAGCTGCTGCCTCGTGTTGCAAAACCATCTCTTGCTGTTGAAGGGCTTGCTTCTGGGCTGTTGCTTCTTGCTGCTGAAGAGCTTGCTTCTGAGCTGCTGCCTCCTGTTGCAAAACCATCTCTTGCTGTTGCAGGGCTTGCTTCTGGGCTGCTGCTTCCTGCTGTTGAAGAGCTTGCTTCTGGGCTACAGCCTCTTTGTGCTTCATCAACATTTTCTGATAGGCTTGCTGCACGGATGCTTCTGCTTGCTGCTGAAAAGCTTGTCCGTGACCTGCCTCATGTTGCTGCTCCTGTTGTTGAAGGGCTTGCTTTTGCACTGCAGCTTCTTGCTGGTGAAGGGTTTGGTTGCAAGCTGCCTCCTGCTCTTGCCGCTGTAGGGCTTGCTTCTGGTCTGCGGCTTCTCGCATCATGCGAGCTGCTGCCTCCTGCAAGGCCATCTCTTGCTGCTGAAGGGCTTGCTTTCGAGCTGCTGCCTGTTGCTGCAACGCTATCTCATGCTGCTGCTGAAGAGCGTGCTTTTGAGCCAGCGCTTGCTGCAGCTGCCTTTGCCTCTCACGCTCCTCGCATAGGTTTCTCTTTGCCTGCAGCGATGCCAAATACATCTCCGACTTGTTTTGATCTTCGAGCCTGTGTGGAAAGAACATCGTGTTCGGCGTTGGTGTGATCAAACCAGGGAAAAGTCCACCTGACAGTGGTCCTGCTTCCTGCTTCACCTGACACGGTGCATCATTCAGAGGTACACAGCCTGCACTTCATTGTACACGTGCACACACACACACCAAAAGTTGTATCTACAGCAGTTGTCAAACTGCAATTAGAAAAACTTGCTTTTACAGGAGCAAGCCGCTGGCTGCAAAGAAACTGCACCATTGGGAGTTGGTTGCTTTTGGCTGCTGAGGAAATTGCACCCAGCCACTAGAGTTTCGCAAGACCACGTTTTGCTGCCACTGGCAAGGTCCATTGCCATTGCGCAGTCACACCCTCAAAACAAAAGCTGGCCTGAGCCCCTGGTTCAAGCACACAACCTACAGCATTCTCTTAAGCGATTCAGTGTGATTCAAAAAACAAAACTTCACGTTGCCATCCACACACTGAAACGCTGCAGAAGCATTAGACTCGCCCTTCAGCAACATCAAACCTTTCACATGCGCTTTAGCATGCTTTAGCAGTTGCAGCGCCTGCCGCTTCCATTCCACTAGCCAAAATAGATATAGGGCAGCTAGAAGGACCTGCGCAAAAAAGCACTTCACAACGTATGGAACCAAACCACTGCTTGTAAAATCAAACAGTAGCTGCGTTGTTGCGCTGTACGCTTCAGTGCAGGCATCATAGCTGTAAATTTGCCGGTAAACTGATGCAGACAACTGGTTTCTTGTCACCCCAAACCAAAACCAAAAAAAAACATGTTTCCGAGCCGATCCGAGCCCGTCAAAAAATCCGTCGCGATCTCTCGCGAAGACTTGGTTTTCCGTGTCGAAGACCTGGTTTCCCGTGCAAATCCGTGCCGCCAATTTTGGACGATCAGGCTCCGGTCGTTTAATAGGAACCCAAAATTTGTGGTTTCAGGCGGGAGAGGTTGGCGCTGCAGTCAAAATTGGTTTGACCCGCTCAAACACCCGATTTTGACAGAATACTGGTATTTGATTATAAATTATATATATATATATTCTTCAGAAAGGTCAATCCTATGACTTGTTTCCCGTCGCAATACATCTCTAAGCGCCCCTCGCCAGCCACACTGATGCAGCAGCTCACCCGCTATACATGTATCCCTGGCTTCCAGCACATTCACACATAAGGCATGGGTCAGCAAACAACATTTATTCCCCTGCAGAGACGGTAGCTATATATATAGGACTAGTACAGCGGTCAGGCTGAATTGACTCTCCGACAAGCAAGAGTGATTAGCCCCCACGATTCATCCCCAGAACAGACCTGAGGTCATCAGGAACATTCAAACACTTATTGGAGCGAAGATAGGATATGACTGATTTCATATCCGCATCATCCCAGTAGTCAGCGTTCACACTCATTGCTGCCAAAATGGAAGACAATGAAGGACATGCGCTGGTGTCCTCACAACAAAAAACCAAAGGACGAAAGAAACCTCAACAAAACTCCATATGACCTCAAGATCCGCGGTTTCTAAGTGCCCTTTTTAGGTGGTCAGTGAAACCAAAAGCACGCCAAAAAGGGCACTTTGAAGAACAGCCTTTGTCACTGCTATCTTGTCTCATTGCTACCTTTCCACAAGAAACTATGTCCTGTGGCTCCCGCAGACCTCGAACTCCTTCAGAAATTGTTGGGAGCAAGGACGCAACTTTGTAACCAAAGGCCTTCGTATAGCTCCTCAAAGGAAAACTACCCGGATAGGATTTGGATAGCTCTCTCGCGTTCAAAAAGACCACAGACTTTGAGCGTTTGAGGCCTGAAAGAACAACAGTCGGAGAAGCCACCAAGAACACTATAGTTCCAAGCCGAGCTTCTGTGATTGTTTTAATACCTTTTTGTTTCCCGTGCATCTCTTTTTTCCATGTTTGTCCCTGTACGTAGTTGCAAGGGGTTCAGCGGAAGCCTTCATCTCCTTTGTCAGGGTACCCAAGTCTAGTTTCTGCACATGCCAGCTGTTCGACCACAGGCATGTTCTCTTCCAGCTCTTGACCCCATAGTGTTTCATCCAAAGCTTTTGCCGGAATACCTGGGTGCATCTCTGCTCATGTTTTGTGTTTTGAGGGCTCCGTTTTGGGGGCGAACAAGTGCATGAAGTGTATCCCCAACCACCCCGATATCACATGTACAGCCACCCCCCAAAACAGAACCCCAAATTGCAGGACGCCACTGACCTATGGACACATGCCTAATTGGCTCAAAACAGCAAAGCAGCACCAGTGCAAAACGAAGCACGAATGCAACCTGCTGGCAAAAATGCTGGCAACGTGGCATATCTCCAAACTTTGCTGAACCCGGTTGTTCCAGCAAGAACACGTGCCCCAACGCAACACATAGCCAGCAAAGTAGTGTAACGCGACAAGACATCACGTTCCCCATCTTGACCCAAACAACCCTTTCATCTCCCAAAGGGGAATACCAATATCGTTTTGCCTGGCTTGAGCACATGAAGCTGAACCCTGAACATTCAGGAGCCAACACCACCAAGCTGGCTGGCTGGAGGCGTAGTATTGACCAAATCGCACACCTCAGCAGAAGCGGATCTTTTTTAACTTTAGAGAACCCAGAAAGAGCAAAGGTTGAGAAGTAAAGTTCCAGGAAGAACAAATTGAACGCAACATATGTCACCAATTTTGGCGTTTGCTGTTCTCCCTACTTTTGGCGCAGTTCCTTTGAGTCCAAAGTGAAAATTGCACACAACACCAGTTCCGCTAAAGTCACGCCATTCCTGCTGGGTCAAAGATATTGTTGTAGCGCCCCCCAAAGCCAGCGTCCACACGCAACCCCCGGAATCCAACATACTGGAGGGCCCATGTCAAATTGGACTGGCCTGCGAAGAATTCTACGAAGGTATAATCCTCAGAACAAGAAGTCAACACCGGCTTTCTGTAAAACATCTTCAACGCTCTCACTCCTACCTCCACGAGCAAACTGTACAACTTTCGTTCAGGATCCCAGTCCAACTCCAGGCCATCAGTGCACAGGAGAAAAAGCACACACAACACCAATGCCTTGGCAAGCAATAGGAAAGGGGCAACACCTGCGCTCTAAGCAGCAAATCTTCCTTGGAAACAAAAATGGAAAAACACGCGCGCTCAAAACCGACATGCACTCTCAGTTGGGCACAAAGGGCACTTTGGCTTTGGCAAGGCGAGGAAGCACCGCGTCCAGTGACCAACGCACCATGAGTGCACAGTTTATGGGCGCACAGTTTGTGTTTTGCTGCTGGACAGCACCCTTGTAACACGCAATCACCAGTCAAACATATTCCTACAAACACG